AAAAAAAATGACAAAAATAAATTTTCTTATAAAGTTGACTTATAAAAAAAAAAAATCTTATGTAGTTTTTTGAACATCAAGCAGCTTCAACAGACAAGCAAAATTTGAAGAAGTCGAAGACTTAATGACGAGAAGCAAAACAGAATAAGATGATAAAGTTGCTTTTTTTCCTGTTTCCGCAACCGTTAGTCTAACAACAGTTTGTTAACATCAACTTAGTCTTATTTTAAGTCAACCGGGACCGAACAATATATCTGAAAATAAATGTTAAAAAATTTGGTCAGAAAAAAAGGAAAGAACTGTAACACCAGTGACAACCAACGAAAAGACACAGTGCCCAAATATACTGAAAAAATTAAACCAAAACTAAAACTGAAAACAAATCAAAAAAGCAAAAAAAAAAAGTCACCATCAGAAAAAAAAAGCAATATAAAATAGTAAGTAAATTTGCAACATTAATTTGAAACTAACGACAACAACAACAAAAAAAAAATTTCTATTTTTTTTTTTACAAAAATAAATGCTTTTTTTGAATGACCACCAAAAAAAAAAAAGATGCCAATTTGTTGAAATTACAGTTACACGTAACGATAACAAAAATTAAATTAAAATTAATTTGTTCAACCACAAAAAAAAAAAACATATGCTCAAATATATACTGAAAAATAAATCTTACAGATGTTTAAGGTAAAAAAAGAAAAACACTGACAGTGCTATTTCAGTTGTCTACAGGAAAAAAATGTCACTAATACCTTCATTAGTTTTATTTTTATTTTTTTTACAGATTGCTAAATCATAATTAGGCAACAAAACTGTTGACAACATATCGCCTATTACAGATAATTTTACAGAAACTGTTCGGTTAGTTAAAATTTTTTTTTTTCTCCTGCATAAAAAAACAAAAAGTTTGCACCGTGTTAAAGACTATTCCTATTGACATCAAACATCAAAACTTCCTTTTTAGATCAGCACTTTTTCAACTGCTCAGATACAGCACAGATATTATTGAATTATCCAGTTCTTTCACTTGTTTTTTTTTTCTTCTTCTTTTTGAACAACTGTTTAAAATGTTACACAATGATACAGTATTACGACTAGAAATGTTTAAAAATCTAAAAAAAAAATAAATGAATTTCAAGCTTTCCATCATCATCATGTATCAAACAAAACTGCAAATTTCTGCCAAATATAAACAAACATCAAATTGCATAATTCAATAGCCTACAATTTTGTATAGAACGATGAAAATGTTTGCAACAATTCTTGGTAGTTTCTTGTTTATCCATTTAAACTTAGCTTCTAACAGTTTATTCATCGTTTATATTGTTAAGCAGTAGAAAAAATTGAAACGTAGTTATTCTAGCCAGTTCAGGCTTACACTGAACAAAAATGCCTTCTTTTATTTTTTACAACAACTATCCACAACAGCTTCTAGACAGTATAATATGATGAAAATTTGATAACATCGAACAAAAACTGATATGTATGGTTGCGTGAACGATTGGTAATACCGATGAGATTCCAATGATATATGCTCATCAAAAATAACAATAAAAACAAAAAAAAGAACATTAAAAACAAAAAACTGGAATGCTTTCTGAAAAAAGAGAAAAAAAGAGAAGATTATGGTACTCCAAAACAAGAAAAAAAAAGTTTCTAAGAACGTCCAGACAAACTAAGCACCTAACTTTTGAACAACTCTTTGACAGCGTGCAACAAATTCTTCTGCGTGACTACAACAGTTGCTGTTTCAGTAGCCTTACCGTCTTCAATCTGATCAATTCGTTCTCGAATTGCATCCATCATTGCTCGCGAAACAAGTGAATACATTTCAGCTCCAGTCATCTGTGGATTGCATGATGATATCTGAACGTACAACAGAATATTTTTTTTCATTATTCTGATCAAAAATCAGTCACATTTTTGCAACACACAC